CGAAGCCTCTTGGATGAGGGGCGAAACGTTTCTTTTTAACAAAAAAACGAAGTCCAGATGACATGATTCAACCTTTTTTGTTGTTATATACCTGGATGACTGAGAAAACAAACTTTGTGTATTAACACTATTAAAGAAGAGGTCTTAAGTATTTTTGTTATACAAATATTTGCATTGCATTAAAGAGACAAATTTTAAAAAATTATTTAATAAACACGAGGGTTATGAGGGGGTCCCTGAGCCTTTTTCTCCCCTGTGAGGGGTCCCTGAACCCAAAAAGTTTGAGAACCCCTGTTTTAGATCACATTCATACACCGATGGGACACACATCGGAGGCAATGAGGGGTTCAGTGTCTTAGGGAAACTTCAACATGTGACTGCTGGTGGATTCAAACCCCCAACTCTCTCATTGAAGTACGCCTGCTCTAACCACTGAGCCACAGCTGCCCGTGAAATATGTAATCAATTACAAATTTTGTAAGATGTAAAATAAAATGTAGGTGTTTGTCAAATATATAGAATGAGTTGATGTTAAAGTGCTGGGAGGGGTCTGGATAGGGTCTCATTTTCAGTTCTTTGCTTCAGTCAGGGGAGGGGGGAGGTGTGTCACAGACTCTTCTTCGTCTATAGACATTAAACACAGCAGACAGCTGTGTACACAGAACAAAACCAACAGAAGGATATACTGTACATTCCTACGGGTAAGTTAATTTGATTTGTTACATTATGACTCTGAGCACTGTGGAATCAGGATTCAACAATCATTTTCAAGAAGTATTCCAGTATATTTATATTTATATATGAAATTCAGATGGATGTGATTTTCCTCTGTACAATAACATCTCTGTGGATTCCAATGGTAGCCTAAAATGATAGAGGACTAAATGCATCTTGAATTTATTTGACCTATAGCTGTAAAATGAGATTGAGCGCTTTTGAGATTATGTCTCAAAAGATAAGAAACATTCAGATTCTTCATATATGTGGTGTAAAATGGTAACACTACCATTGATGATCATCAGATAACGATATACACTGACTCAACATTTGAAGGCTGGTAACACTGGTCTAATACAGAACCTTTAATATGAGCTTAGAACAATGTGTTTAGACTTTGCTACCTCACTATAACCTTTTAGACTATTATAGGATTTTTAGTTGTATGTATTAAAGTGAGGTTCTGTGAAAATTGTATTAATAATTAACAATGCACACATCGTTCTTAAACAACCTTAGTCGAGGAAAGTTTATTTCTGACAAGTTGGCAACTAATCAGAGTGAGACAAGACCCAAAATAAAATGCTGTTGTCTTAAAGCAACTCTAATGTAGCTGTGTGTGTAGTGTGTGCCGCAGCTTCAACAAACCTGTTTTTGTGATTCGTGCTTGCAAATGACCAGCAATGAGTTTTATATTGAAAACCATGCAATGCAAAATTGATGGCAATGTGAAGGTTTATAAAATATTGTTTGTGGACTTGGAAAGGGTCGAGATTGAAGCAATCCACATTGGTCTCGAGTCCTCCAGGACCAGCTGTTCATTAATTTGGCCAAAATTAAGCTTTTATTCTCCTAACTGAGTTCATTTAAAAAGCTATCTACAACTGGTAAGGTATTTATTATTTATAAAAATGTCCACATATTTTCACTTCATCCATGTCCAGCAGTCACTGTGCGAGAGTTGGGGGACACCCTGGACATGTCTCCAGTCCATCACAGAGACACGTAGAGACGAAGAGACAAACAGTCATTCGTTCTCTCACTCACAGAGTCTAACATGCATGTTTTTGGTCTGTGGGAGGAAACCGGAGTGCCCGGAGAAAACCCACGCATACACAGAGAGAACATGCAAACTCCACCCAGAACCCCGGACCGGGATTTGAACCAGGGCAACCTGCTCACTGAGAGGCGGCAGCTCTACCAACTGCGCCACCGTGCTGCCCCTATCTTGACTTCTAATTATCTGAACAATCATTTTAAGCATGTAGCAACACAGCCCAGTGATTACTTTGTACGTATGTACCTGTTAGTTGCTAACTGGTACTTCCCAGTACTAACGTGTGTAAATTAGAATTAGATTGAGAACAATGAGAGACTTGCTGATTTAATTGCTGGCAATTTTGCAGAGTACTGCTGACCTTTGCACCTCATATTGGGAAATGTGTATACTAAATTGTTCTTTTTCATAAAAGAGGGTTTGTCATTATTGCAAACAAAATGATAGAAAGGATTTCTACTTTCTGTGTGTGCACAAATTGTAGCTACTTTTCAAAAATTACGATTCCACTACTTAGTAAGTGGTGAGACGTATTTCTATGCAGGCTGTGGAAAATTTAAACTGAAGTTTTATGTTTCCGTACTATTCAGTGATCATGGAGGGATTGTTCTCAGCCAGCCAATGTTTCCAACAAAAGCAGTTTGGAAACAGAAAGGAGGGTGATATGAAGCCTGATGAGAAGCCACAGGTGGAGGGAGGAACTACAGATGAGGGTAAACTCAACTTCTACCTGCAAGAGTCTGTTTGAAATTAATCTTTTCAAGTCTTGGTTTTATGTCCCACATAAGAATGAGAATATAAATCTATTTCTTTGTAACTTGGGTCAGAAGTAATTTGTAAACTATGTTTGACATTTCATCTCTAACAGACCAGAGTCTAATGACGAGGGAGGCTCTGGGTAGAAGGAACATCTGGGAGCCAAGTGTTTACTATGACCTGGGAAAGGAATCTTTTCATTTTGCTGGTCAGGACATCAGCATCCGGGAGTCGATGGACACGTACGGTGCTCTGATCTGGCCTGGGGTACATCTTGCCACCATTACTCTGATCTACTGCACATTCAGTGGTTTCTGTAAATGTGAAACTTTATTCTTTCTGTAAAGGCCATAGCTTTGAGTCAGTTCTTAGAGAACAACCAGGAACAAATGAATCTGATGGACAAAGCAGTGTTGGAGCTGGGAGCTGGTACTGGCTTAGTCTCTATAGTGGCCAGTTTGCTTGGTAAGTTTATGTTTTTTTAATACAGTTTGTATTATAACTATGACACTTTAATGCTAATACATTCAAATAACAACAGTAATGTTTTATGCATCTGAATTTGTGCCTGAAAACATTAACTCAGGAATACTAATTACACAATTTAATGAAAAATTTGAAGGCACTTTGGTTCACCATAACAATAGAAAGATGCATTCATAAGTAACCTAATTTAAGACTTGTGTACTACATGGTTATCATACAAGGAGCAGCTACAAAATGAACAAGTTATTGCATTGGAACTCTGGGCACGCTACTTTTTCTGTAGTCACTTTTCAAGTACTAAGTTTTTCCTGGCAAAAAGTTGAAGTCTAATTCAGTACAGTCAGTTCAGTTACAGTTGTGTTCAGAAAAAAGTCAATAACATTACAAATTAATTCCATCTAATGATATGATGTGAATTATGCTCCAGATCCATCTTCTACTGCTTATGATCACGAAGGTAACAGGTCCAGGAGAAAAAACAGACATCCCTCTCCTCAGTGACATTCAATTCAATTTAAATTCAAAAATACTTTATTAATTCCAAAGGGAAATTAAATGTTGACAATGGTGACATACCAGTAAATCGAGAGCTTTGACTTTTGACTAAACTCTTTTTTTTACCATGCAACTCCAGGATTATTCTTCTTCTTCCTTCGGCTTTTCCCTCTTCAGGGGTCGCCACAGCGAGTCATCCTCCTCCACCTCACTCTGTCCTCTGCATCTTTCCTGGACAGTGGACCCCAAGTACTTGAAGTCCTGCACCTTTGTGACCTCTGCTCCTTGTAGCCTCACTGTTCCACCGGCCTCCCTCTCATTTACACACATGTACTGTGTCTTACTACGGCTGACTTTCATTCCTCTTCTTTCAAGTGCATACCTCCACCTCTCCAAGTTCTCTTCCACCTGTTCCCTGTTCTCCCCACAGATCACAATGTCATCTGCAAACATCATAGTCCATGGGGATTCCTGCCTGACCTCATCTGTTAGTTGGTCCATCACCAGAGCAAACAAGAAGGGGCTCAGTGCTGATCCTTGATGCAATCCCACCTCCACCTTGAAGCTATCTGTCACTCCTACAGCACATCTCACCACTGTCCTGCTGTCTTCATACATGTCCTGTACTAGTCTAACATACTTTTCTGCCACTCCAGATTTCCTCATGTAATACCACACCTCCTCTTTTAGCAGTCTGTCATATGCTTTTTCTAAATCCACAAATACACAATGAAGTTCTTTCTGACCCCCTCTGTACTTTTCCATCAGCATTCTCAAAACAAAGATGGCATCTTTGGTGCTTTTTCTTGGCATGAAACTATACTGTTGCTCACAGTCACCTCTGTTCTAAGTCTTGCTTCCACAACTCTCTCTCCCAGATCTTCATTGTGTGGCTCATCAACTTAATTCCCCTGTAGTTGCTACAACTCTGTAAATCACCCTTGTTCTTAAAAATGGGCACCAGCACACTTCTTCTCCATTCCTCAGACATTTTCTCACCCTCGAATATGCCATTGAATATTTGAGTCAAAAACCTCACTGCCTTCTCTCCAAGACATTTCCAAACCTCCACTGGTATGTCATCAGGTCCTACTGCCTTCCCCTTTTTCATTCTTTTCATAGCTTTTCGGACTTCACCCTCACTAATCTTTCCCACTTCCTGGTCTACAGTTTCTATGACCTCTACTCTTCTTTCTCTTTCATTCTCTTCATTCATTAGCTCCTCAAAGTACTCCTTCCATCTTTCCGTCACACTCTCCTCACTTGTTATAACATTGCAATTCCTATCTTTAATAAGTCTAACCTGCTGCACATCCTTTCCAGCCTCATCCATCTATCTTGCCAATTGGTACAAGTCCTTCTCGCCCTCTTTAGTGTCCAGTCTCCCATACAATTCATTGTATGCCCTCTGCTTTGCCTTAGCTTTTTCATTCAACCTTTATTTAGACAGGTAAATCCCATTGAGCCTCGAGAACTCATTTACAAGAGAGACCTGAACTAGCTACTTCCCTTTTTACTTTTCGTCCCATCTCCTTATATTCCTGTCTCCTCTCTTCAGTCCTCTCACTGTCATATTTCTTCTTGGCTAATCTCTTTCTTTGAACGGCGTCCTGCACTTCACTATTCCACCACCAGGTTTCCTTATCATCCATTCTCTGTCCAGATGACACACCAAGTACCTTCTTACCTGTCTCTCTAATTACTGTTGCTGTAGTAGCCCAGTCATTTGGAAGTTCTTTCTTAATATCCAGAGCCTTTAACAGCTCCCCTCTGAATTTCTCGCAACATTCTTCCTTCTTCAGCTTCCACCATTTGATCTTCTTCCCTGATTTTGCTCTTTTTCTCTTCTTCACAACAACAGTCATTCTACACACAACCATCCGATGTTGTCTGGCCACACTCTCCCCTGCCACAACCTTACAGTCTCCAATCTCCCTCAGGTTTCCTCTTCTACACAGAATGTAGCCGACCTGCATACTCCTTCCTCCTCTCTTATAGGTCACTCTATGTTCTATGTTAACAAAAAAAACGAAGTCCAGATGACATGATTCAACCTTTTTTGTTGTTATATACCTGGATGACTGAGAAAACAAACTTTGTGTTTTTGAAACCATTAGTGAAAAGGCCAGACTTCAGGGGTATCTGAGGCAGGCTTGAAACACAAGAGTCAGGGTGGCTTCTGGGTAATACCAGATGGCTAGGCCTCAGACTGACGAAGCCTCTTGGATGAGGGGCGAAACGTTTCTTTTTAACAAAAAAAAAACGAAGTCCAGATGACATGATTCAACCTTTTTTGTTGTCACTCTATGTTCCTCCCTCTTTTGGAAATAGGTATTGACTATAGCCATTTCCATTCTCTTGGCAAAATCCACCATCATCTATCCTTCCTGGTTTCTTTCCTTGACACCAAACCTACCCATCACTTCCTCATCCCCTCTGTTTCCTTCACCAACTCCAGGATTCAAGATTCTTTATTGTCATTCGCAGCCCATGTGGTACATGCAGTGGAAAGAAATTATGTACACAGGGTCCCAGTTACATCAAACAATAGCAAAAATATAAAGTGTAAAAAGAAACAGTAAATACCAAGATATAAACTAAGATATACGCTAAACAAACGCCTAACGGTAAGCTAAAAGATGTAAGATAAACACTAATACCAACTAAATACTAAACACTAATAATGCAAAACAATACACCAAACAACAGCAGCATGATTCTCATAAGTTCTGTTCAGCTATAATTTACACGCTTAATGCTAACGGAGCCGGACTCAGAGCCCCAAAACTAACATAAACTAAACTAACATAAACTGAGATTTATTCAAAGCATGCAACAAAAATACAGAAACAAGAAATAAATCTACAGCAGCATGGTCCTATTGGCAGAGTGGTTCTGATGACTGTAAGCTTATCTTAGCAGCATGGTCCAGTTAGCAGCATGATACTGTTAGCAGTGATGTTTCTCTTAACAACATGGTCCTGTTGGCACCATGGTACTATTAGCTGTGTGGTTCTGTTAGCAGCATTAGCAGGTCCAGTTAGCAGGTCCAGTCAGCAGCATGATGATAATAAGCAATGCGCTCATTACTGAGAATGAGATCCCAATTCATCACTCCTTCTCCTGCTCCATCCTATCATCACTCGTGAACAAGAGGCCCAGATACACCCCCACCCTCCAACTTTGGTTATACTTAAACCTGATAGCCCTTAAAAGCAACCCAGACCTCCTGCAGCACCCCGCACAGAATGCCTTTGGGAACACGGTCATATGCCTTCTCCAGAGCTACAAAATACAAGTGGACTGGAGAGTCCAAATCCCATGACCTCCTTAGCTAATCTAGAAAGGTGAAGATCTGGTCCACTGTTCTAAGACAAGGATGGAAGCACTCCTCGTGAATTTGGGGTTTGACAATTGACCAAAGCCTCCCTTCCAACAACCTGGAGTAAATTTTCCTGAGAAGGGTTAGAAGTGTGATCCCACATTAGTTAGAGCAGTGGTTCCCGACCCTGGTACTCAAGGAACTCTATCCTGCATGTTTTAGTTGTTTCCCTGCTTTGACACACCTGATTTGAGTAAATAAATGATTAACATGCTTCTGCAAAACTTGACAAAGTAATTAAATCACTGAGTCAGGTGTGGTGGAGCAGGGAACCTTGCAGTATAGTGTTCCTCGAGGACCAGAGTTGGGAACCACTGAGTTAGAGCGCTCTCTGGTCTCCTTTTGTGAACATGGGAACCACCACCCAGGTCTGCCACTCTACAGGTGTTGCCCAAGTTCTCCATATGATGTGTCAACCACAACAGCCCCACAATATCCAGAGCTTTGAGTATCTCAAGGTAAAAGTTATTTTCCATGGCCTCCCCAAATTCCTCCCATGACCCAGCTTTTGTAGTCACTGAATCTGATGTCCTTCTGGCCACCCTGCAGCTGTCGTGCTTCTGGATTCCTCCAGGAACAACCATAAAGGCTTCCTTCTTCAGCAGGGTTTTATGCCTGCTCATAATATTACTATAAAAGCAGTAGCCCTTTTTACAAAACACTTTCAAGTCGAGCCGGATGTTCCCATTTTATTTTGGTGTGACTACTGTAAGGCTGAAGTTACCCACTGCTTTTACACCACTGAGCCACTAGTGACAGAGCTATGGCTGGTATGTGTGGGTGGGTGTGTGTGTGCATGTTTGTGTACAGCTAAGCTGGCATTGTGGCTCAAAGGTGAGATGTAAGCTCAGACTGACATGACTGGGTTGATTGATAAATGGGCTGTACATATATAACACCTTTCTATCTCATCAAGACACAAAGCGTTTTACAACACAATCTGTGCCCTCATTTATCCATCCATACAGCACTCTACTAGATCTATACGAGGCAAATTGAACAAATCATTCTAAAGAGACTAATCAGTACTTTTAGATCACATTCAAACACCAGTGTTGTAGTCAAGACCACCTAACCCGAGACCAAGTCAAGACCAAGACCA